TATTATTCTTGCAGCTTTACATCTATCATTCATTTCTTTAATTGGATTTTTGTTTTTGATTCCTTCTTCAATTGTTTTAATATCTTCACTTGTCCAATCTTTTGTTTTATCTTTGAATTCTTCTTTGATTTTCTCTAGTGTTTTCTTCTTTCTTATTGAATATACTTCTTGGAGAATATTATACCATTTCTTTTCTTTACCTTCGTACTTTTTAAGTAATTCTTCGTATTCTCCTTTTTCCCATTTTCTTGTTATTCTTTTAATTTTCTTTTGAATTTCTTTTGTTGTCAACCATTTAGGTTTCTTATTTGTATAATGTTTATTACCATTATACTTGCCTTGTTTTTTATTTGTTTTTCTTTGTGTTCTTCTTTTCCTAAACCCTTTTTTTCTGTTATTTCTTTTATCATAATTATTATGCATTTTATTGCTATTGAAGTCCTTTCTTTTCTTTGAACTTGAATACCTGTGTCTTGTTTGATTTTCTTTACAAGACCCTATGGTATTACTCAATAGCCATGGCAACAAAATTTGTTGTATATTCTGCATTGATAAAAGGATCTCTATATAAATAAAATAAAAAATAAATAAAAAAGAATAAAATAAATATTTTATTATATTTTTATTTATCTTTTATTCTTATTTCTTTTTATTATTTATTAAATTAACACATTGGGTGTGATTATTTCAAATGAAATAAAACCAGAATGAAATATGATCATTTTTATATTTATCATTTCATTAATTGGCAGATGAAATATTCATATTCATTTATTGATTTTATTTTATTTCTTTTTTATTTTTATATTTCAAATAAATAATAATGAATAAAAATCATTTCATTTCAATTACAATGATTCGTTCTGGTGTGAAATATTGTTTTCCACAAAGTGGATTTGATATTCCTTTATATTCAAATGAATATTGAATACAATGTGAATTTGTTTTATTGTTTTCTTTATAAACAATAAGATCAGCAATACTTCCACCATTCATACTTCCAAATGAGAACAAATAATCATTTGGCTGATTGTTTGTAGAAAATGCAGTTGTACTTCCAAATCCTCTGAACCCATCAAACTGACAATTATTTGATTGACCACTTAACCTAAATGCATATTGTGGATTATTAATATCAAATTTCATCATTCATTTTATTCTTCCTTTTGATTCTATTGAAAATAAAAATGGTTTTGGATCATTTATATAATCATCAAATTTATCAATTTTACAATTAACATATCCTCCAAATTTATTTCCATCTCTATCTTCAATAATAATTATTATATGTTCTTTGTTTATTATTCTTTGTTCAAATACTGATGTATTTTGACTCCAATTATCATTATCTGAATCAAATATTATATTAGATACTTTTCTTGAAGTCCATTCTTCTATTTGTTTCATTTCTTCAATTGTGTTCATTCCTTTCATTTTTCTTAATCTTTCTTCTTCTTCTTCTTTTATCTTCTTCCTCTCAAAATAATCACTGTAATGTGTGTTCCATTCTTCTTTCTTTTTGTTAAATTCTTCCGTGATTTTATCACTTTCTTTGGGTTTTCTAAATATTTTATCTTTCATTATCATTTCTTCCATGAAAATGATTTTGTCTATTAGTTCATTCCGTGTTTTACTTAGTGCTTCTTCATCTTTATTACATCCCTCTATTATATTTTCAATTTTATTCTTTAGTATTTCTATTGTTTTAATTGTTTCTTGTCCTTTTTCTATTACTACTTTTCTTCTTCTTTCTGTTTCATCAATTCTATCAATTACTCCTTCTCCTCTTTTAGTAGCTTCTGAATATGTTTCATTATCTTGTATTTCAAATATTTCATTTTTAATACTTCCTAAATACTCTTGATACTGTTTAGTAGTATCATCAATTCTTTGTTGAACATTTGGAAGTGTTTCTACTACTTCTTTAATTAATTGGTTATCCATCACTTCTCCCATTTAATTTGATGAATATCAGATTAAAATCAGATGGTTAAATACTTAAATACACGTTTACAACACATCATTTTATTATTTTATTATAATAAATGTATTTCATTTTTATTATTAATTTTAAATAACATTAACAAAATCAAGATTTAAAGGTAGCACCTCAGAAAAACCACACAGAACCCTATATGTCTAAAATTTGAATCACTGTTATCTTCTGGCTATGACGTGCCTTTTGTGAGATAACGCACCGCCAAAAGCAAAGTGATTATTATTTATTATCAGTGATTATTATGAGGCATTGTTTATTATATGTTAGTATTATTATTTATTACGATCCAATGTATTTATCATTGATACTTTTGAGTTGAATACATGATGTGTTATCAATAAAGATTATTTAAACAATGTTGATGATAAATGAGATGAGCCATAACCAAATGTTGTTGATATGTCAAACATAAAATAACAACATAAATAATGATGAATTTTAATATTCATTTATTTCAAAATAAAAATCATAACAACTTAATGATGAATTCTTTAAGAGAATGATTGAAAAAAAACAATAATTTAAATGAAATAAAGTATGTTGAAGAAATTGAAACACTCACTTCTCAACATATGAAAACATAATCATAATTATTCATATTTAATTTCTTTTTTTGTTTCATATAATGCATCATTTTTCATTGACTTTTAAAAGAAAAAACAATAAATTAATATTTGTGTTTTCAAAATGTCGAGGGTGAAAGAATCAGTTTCTGCAAACTCTTTATTTCTAGTGATGGTGCTCTTTCTGACATTCTCAAATTGAATGATTTATTTATTTAAACTGTTGTCTAAGCATTAATTTAAAATTAATGAATACTAAAATTGGTTATTATTAAAATGTACTTTAAGAAAAACACATCAATGGCAAATGACTGTGTTTCATTTTCTTTGGCATTGACAAGCTCTTAAGAAACTATTTTCTTTTGACAGCACCCCATTATTCGAGTCAAAATTATTATTAACAAATATACTTGTTGCACGTCAATAAATAAGACTACCACCGTAATAAATAACTAACCTTAGGTCATAACAAATAAATCATACCATCCCTCAATAATCGTTCCTATAAGTATTAAATAACAACACAATAAGCGTTGAATAGAGAATTATCCCAATAAAGGCAAAACCTGAAAGAAGATAACTAATTGGTTAAAGCCTGATTTCATTTGAGGTGTTTGGTTTTCTGATAACACCTTCAAATTTATTTAGATTTTGAAAATGTAGAAGTAAAAAGAAAATACAATTCTAATTAATCTTAAAATTATTTTATGTCAAATTTAAATAAAAACTAAATAAACTACAACAAGAAACAACAAATCAATAATGAAATTAGGATATAATGAAATAATGATAACATCAAAGTATTTAATGATGTTAATGATTTTATTAATTTAGAAATTGGAATTAAAAGATTTCAATGAAATATGGAATGATTTCATTTTAATCCAATTCATTTAAATCATTATTCAAGAAAATTATTTACTAATATTGAAACTTTCATATTTATAATAAAAATGATGAAACAATTAAATAAGTAATATGGTATTTAGTAGATTATTCAACATATTTAAAAGAGAATGAATGAGGCAATAAATGTAAAAATATAGAAAATAGAAAGGAGTAAGGAGATATAATACCACTAGAAGTTAAATCACATGGAGGTCGGTGTTTTTCAAATTTATTCAGTAAAAAAGAATTAGTATATCAATAACAAGTATAAAATATGGATTAATTGTTTTAAAGAGTACAAGATTAATATCTATTATATAGAAAATGGAAAATATATAAGTAAAGAATATTTATTAATGAAATATTAGTTAGTATTGAAATACCACTAAGTCTAGAAGTAATAAATGGAATAAATATTAAAAAGAAAGATATTAACAAATTTATCATTCCAAAAACAGTTAGGAAAGTAGAATGGCATTATTTTATTCAATGCATTTTATTAAATCATTTACTGTTTCATTATCAACTAGTGAAATTGAGATGAGAGTTTGAAATACTGTACATTATTAACATCTATTAATATGTCATACTCAGTTATTAAAATAGGAAATAATTGTTTTAATGAATGTTTGTCATTAACAACTGTTAAAATCAAACACTAATCATTGAATTAGAAGGTATTGGTTTGAAAAATGTCATCATTGATATCAATTAATTTACCAATAAGAATCAATAACATAAGAATTAGTTGTTTTTATGAATGTACATCATTAAAATCAATTACTATTCAATCACTAATTACACCATTTGAAAATCGTTATTTTAAAGAATGTGGATATGAAAAAGAGTTAAGAAAAAATAAAAGAATACCAAATAAATGTTTTGAGTGGCAATCAATCAAATAAGAATACAATAAATTCAATATAAAGTAGTTTGAATAAAAACTAAATAATTAATTATTTGAATTGATTATTCTTATTTAATTATTGTTTATTATTTTGAATGTTAATAAAAACATTTCATATTTCATTTAATATTATTCATTATTTAATTATCATGTTCATTCTATTTAATTTTATGTTCACTATTATAAATCAAAATAAAGAGTGTTAAACAACTTATTTATTTATAAAATTATTATTTATCATTTAATGATGATTTCTTCATTTTAAAATTAAATAATATTTATTCCTCTAATAATTTAATATGTCAAATATTTATTGTTGATGACTTATAATCAATCATATAATTAAAATGAAATGTTGTACATTTAGAATTAATCTGATCAACAAGAAGAGAATTATAAATTATTAATATAGAATAAATATTAAGTTGATAATCAATTACATGAATTGAACATTTTAGTGATAATTTAGATATTGTGAATATTAATTCTTTGTGTATTCTTTTCATTTAACTTTTTCAATTGATTCTTGTTTTATTTTCAAATAATATAGTATTAGAAGTGATGACATTATAAATATATGATTTCTTAATACCAAATACAACTAATGTATCATCAATTAACATTATAATAATATTTTCATTTGATGATTCATATCTATTCACAATTTATGTTGAATGATTATGTTGTTCTTATGTTATGATGAATTAACAATTCAATTAAAATCATTAAAACATGAAAAGAATATAAATTATAAGATATGAATAATAGAAACACAAATACTATGAGACAATCAACTCATTTCATTAATTCAATTGACACAAAATATAAAACAATTAATATTTCATTCATTCAAGAATCAACCAAATTAAAATTGATACACAAAAATATGAATTATATCAATTTAATAATAAATTTGTTATTCTACGAACAAATATTATTAACAATGAATATTACATTGATGTTGATGTTAATCCTGAATTTATTCCTTATATCCAACTTTATCTAAATTTTTTTCATATCAAAAATGTCATGAGAAAGTGTATTTCAATTACCATCAATCATCACACATTTATCATATTTTAGAATTCCATTACTAGATATTTTACATTGGACGAATATTGATATTTCATCATCAGGTAAAACTAAATTCACACAAATTCTATTAAACAGTGAACAAAAAGAATTAGAAATTATTCTTAGAGGGAATTTGATTAGCAAACAATTTCCACAAATAAAAGTTGATGATTTTTTATATGAATTTAATCAACAAATCAAAATGATATTAAATGAACATTTCAATACATCACATGAGAATATCATTGATAACTTCATTAATAATACTAGAATTAATTTAGATGAGTTAATTGAAAATACAGAATTTTCAGAAAAGAGAGTGAAATAATATTTAGAATGATAGAAAATGTTGTTAATAAGAAATGAAAAATATCACACGAACAATACGAATTAATTAAATCAATATCATTAAGAGAATATTCATTTGATGAAGAGTATCTTATTGATATAATTTGTGTTATTCAACATGATATCAATGGACAAATCATTACAATTGATAGAAAAAAGATGGATTTAATATAATAGTACAAACAATGAAATAATATACAAAAATCAATCAATGATGGTATTCTTAATCACAAAATATAGGAATATTCATATTAATAACAAAAGAATGTTGAATGGGATGTTTTAGAATAAATAGAAATAGTATGTTATTGTAAAGAATATTGATTATATCATTTTATTTGATAAACAAGTTAATAGAAATGAAATTAAAGGAGAATTTCATTATTTGGATGAAAACAAATGCATTATTTATTGAACAAAGAAATCTTATTTTATATGATGAAATAGCAAATATCATTAAAAAAGAAACAAGAAATAAATGAGAGAGTTTCTGTGTTTTATATTGAAGACCTATAATTAACAATCATCTATTCATTATTTAATTTTTTCTTATTTTATTTCTAATTTATATCGTCTTTTATCTTTTCTTTTATTATTTCTTTCTTTATTATTGTATTCTTATTTCTTAGTTATTATCTTTTGTATATTCTTTTATTTTATCTTATTCAATCATATATAGATTATTTGACATTTTACATATTCTTTTATTTCTATTAAATTTCTTAGAAAATTTAATTTATTATGATATTAAATTATTTTGTTAAAAATGATATTGAAATCGTTGAATATTTTTAAAAAAATTCTTCTTTTGTTAATACAAGGATGTTTTATATTTATCATAATCTTCATGAATACATTTTTTATTCCCAATAATAAGATATTTGTATTTTGGTTGTTTCTTATTATATTTTGTTAAATATGAACAAAGTAATAAATACATTGGATTTCCATGTTTTTTTAATTATTTCATCATTATCTACTATTTTAATTATTTCTCCTTTTTCATTTCTTAATTGAACTAATCTATATTGTTGATTATTAAGTTTATTTCTTTTTGTCTTTTTTGTAATTATTGGTTTAATCCCTTTCCCTTCTATATCTTCTTATTTATTATAATATTCATTAATAATATTCATCACAACATTTTCATTAGAATTCCTTCTTCTTTATTTTCTTCTTTTATTTTCTTCTTTATCTTATCTTTTATCTTCTATTGGAATCCCTTCTTCGTTAAATACTAATTTCTTTTCTTCATTTTCTTCTTTTACAATATATTTTTTCTCTTCTTCAAATATAACCTTTCCTTCTTCATCTATCATTTTCTTAATTGGTAAAAAATGTTTTAGTTTCTTAGCTGCTTATTTCTGATGAAAATATAATTGTCCATCATTTACTTATTAAATAATAACATCCAGATAAATTCTACATCCTCCTTTTATTCTTTTATTCTTCTTTATTGTTTTCTTTATTATTGGACTTTTTACTTCATCCTTTTCATTCTTCTTCTTTTTCTTAGTTCTTCCCCTTTTTATATTATCTTCTTTTCTTCTTTTCTCTTTTAAACATCAAGTATGCCGAAGCATTACAGGAAACACCACAAAAATTATAAAACAATCAATAACAAAAGAAGGAGAAATCCATACCAACCAAGAAATATAAATGATAGAACTGAGTGAAAACAGGTATTATCTGCATGGACAGAAATACATTAATCATCACAACAATCATTACCATAATAATAACTATCACCATAACAATTATCATAACCGTTATAATAATAATGGTATGAATCATTTCATTCACTTCAATCATTTTCATCATCATAAGTATTTTATCAATAATTCAAATAGAATCAATCAATATTATAATACAAATAAATCACATCATAAAACACATCATAGATATAAACAATACCATAATAAAAGACAACAACAAATAAGAAATAAAAGAAAAGAAATGATAGAAATACAAAACAAGAATATTGGAAAAGACTATTTGAAGAAGAAACCAAAATACTTACACCACAAGAAATAGAAGAAATTAAGAACACTAAGATTAAAGAATACACACCATCAACAATAATGAGAAGATGGTATTTACTTGTAAGAGAAAAAACAAAAATGATTAGAATGGAGAAACTATCAGTATGACACTTGAAGAAGATGACAAACAACTAAATCAAAATGAAATAAATGATAAATACTTAAATAAGAAATATACAATGTTGAAAATGATGATGAATTTACTGAAGAGAAGAAGATGTTTAATGAAAAAGAAAATATGAAATTAAAAGAATAAGAAAAGAACAATGAAAAAGATAAAAGAATAGAAGAATTAAAGAATAGATGAGGCTATTAAAGAGAAAGAAGAAATGAAAAAAGAAATACAAAAGAAGGACCAGACCATTAATAAATTATCAAATGACATTATTTCATTAAAGAAGAAGCATGAGAATGAGATAAACACTAAAAAAACAAGAAAATAATAGAAAATTATTCGAATTCAATGCTGAATCAGAAAGGAAAAGGTCTGAAGTAAGCAATTTATCACAACAAGTATACTTCATGAAAGATAAATTATTTAAATTACAAAATAAAATTACACAAGAAGAAAAGAAGAAAGATGAGATAAATCACATTATATCTGACTCATCTGAAACACAAATTGTGAATGACCTCACCCCCAATGTGGTAGTAGCTGATGAAATATCATTAAGCGAAGATGATCTTCAAAAAAAAGAAAGTTAAGGCAGAATTCAATCGAAGAGATGGGAAATCAGAATAAGAAGATCACCACATCTGATCATGACAATCAAAAAAAAATAATTGAAACAAACAAATAGAGAAGAATAAATTCTAACACTCTATAAATGTTTTACACTAAAATTATTAGAAATAAAATTAAGAGGTCAAATTAAAGAAGAAGAAATAAAAAGATTGATACATGAATTTGATATTAAAATAGAAGATATTAATGAATATAAAGAAATATTAAAGAAAACATATAAAATAAAGAATGAAATTAAAAGGGAAATCAATAGAAGAATGGAAGAAGAATTAATAATACACCAATTGAAAGATATTGAATTAAAAGAATTAATAAAATAAACAAGAAATAAGAATTACAAGAAGTAATAAGAATAAATAAAGAAGAAGATATGAAAGAACAAGAAGATGTATAATTTATTAATTATTATTACAATAAAAACAAAATACATCAAATAATTAATATCATTAATACAAATGAAATAGTAATCAATACATTAGATGATTACTACCATTATATTAAAACTATAACCTCCACTATTAACATCATTATTAATAAGAATCAAGAAAGAAGTGGAAGGAGAAGTATAGAAAGAATACTACAATCAAAAATATGTAGATTAAGAGACTTGCTCCATAATAATCAATATATGAAATTAAAAAGAATATTACATATTAAAAAATATGATATATATCATATTAAAGTAAAAACAAAGGAGCAAATAAACTATTACAAATACCTCCAAAGAATGAAAAGAATAGAAATAGAAGTAAGAATAATTGAAAAGAATAAGAATAAATTATAAAATGATAAAATAATGAAAGAGATAACTTCTAAATAAGTATAAAGAAGATGAATATCCAGATAATATTACTACAATTAATTTCATGAAATGAATCTATGAAAATAACACCAATATAGATTTCATAAATATTAATTTATATGATATATTAATTGAAAATAGAATTAATAATAGAAGGTGCGTAATCACTTTTGATGAATTAAATCATGCAATAAAATTCATTGATAATTGGAAAGTACCTGGAATTGATAAAATACAATCCTCTGGATTAAATATTTAGAACAACCAAAGAATTTCTTATTAAAATTATTTAATGAATGGTTGTATAATCCTACTAACATCCCTCTTCAATTTATCCAAGGAAGGACAATATTAATATACAAGAAATGAAATAAATTATATAAACTAAATTACAGACAAATAACTTGTTTAAACTGTCTGTTAAAAGTATATACATCTTTATTAAAGATGAAGATAGAAAGCCAACTGATGCTAAATCAAATTGAAAAACAATTATCACAAAATCAAATTTGATGTAAAAAATATACATATGCATCAAAAGAAGGATTATTATACAATACTATAATCCAACAGTTATTAATCAAGGCTAAATGGAAGTGGGTAGAAACATATTATGATGTTTCTAAAACATATGATAATATTAATCATCAATTTGTTAAACAATGTTTAATTTACTTTAACATCCCATTAGTTGTAATTAAAAGTATATTATATATATTAAATAATACACAACTCCAATTATATTATAATCAACAAAATGTTGGTATAATTAATGTAGAAAGAGGAATAATACAAGGTGATAGTTTATCTCCATTATTGTTTGTATTATCTATTGATATATTATCTAAACAATTAGATAAACAAATTAATAAGTTATCTATTAAAATGAATGGAGAAGAAAAACAAGTACAGTTAAACCACATATTATATATGGACGATTTAAAGATAATAACTAATAGCCTCGAAGAAATGGAAAAAGCCCACAAATTAACAAATGAAATATTTAATGCGATAGGACTAAAAATAAATGTAGAAAAGAGTGGGATAATGACTAATATCAATGGTCAGATAAATGGAGAAATAGCTGAATTACCAAGAGTAACTAATGATAACCCTTATAAATATCTTGGTATTGAAATAAGAGATAAAATAAATATTAATAAATATTGTACAAGAATATTAAATGATGTATCTTCTATTCTATCATCATTAAATAATATGAAATATAGCAGCCTCAATACAATTAGAAAGATTAATAGCGATATAATCTCCAAATTAAGATATGGATTCTGTATTGTCCCATGGAAACTTTGTGAGTTGGAGAATATAGATAAACAAATAAGAAAGGCATTGATACAACTCCAACTATACAGTAGAAACATCCCTAAAAG